GTCATCTAGAGGAGCGTCATCTTCGGGCCATAACCCAAGAGACAAGAGGTTTGACGATCTCCAAAGCCAGCTCGACGCCTTGAAGCTCCAGAAGCGTGTGAGCAAGCTGAGGGTTGTCAGACCGTATCCAATTGAATGGGATGCGGTCTCCTACCTGGCAAAGTTCGAGCCGCTGGACCTCCTGCAGTTCAATGGCAAAGGTTCTCCTACCCAGCACATCTACTACTTCCAGGTGCAAACTGGACACATAGTGGGAAACGATCCCATTATGACTCGACTGTTCATTGGTACCCTCAAGGGGGTCGCTTTTGAATGGTTTCGCAGATTGGAGCCTGGGTCCATCACCTGCTGGAAGGACATGGAAAGGCTCTTCATGGCCAGATTCTTCGACGATGACACAAAAGTATCTATGGCCACCCTGCTAACTGTGAAGCAGAGGAAGACAGAGTCTGTAAGCAACTTCGTCAAGAGATTCAGAAACCGATCGCTGCATTCCCGCGATCGAGTTTCCGAGGCCACGCTCATCGAGATGTGCCGGAACAATCTCTCCATCAGTGTTCTGTCCAATATGGGCGCTGTTGAAGCTCGCTCATGGAAAGACTTACTCCGCCAAGGAGAACAAGTCGAGAGCATGCTCAAGCATATGGGTGACGAAGACCCGCATGAATTTCGAGGGGATGATGACCAAGATGCCTCGAAGACCCGCATGAGTTTCGAGGAGATGATGACCAAGATGCCTTGGTAGTGGAGACCATTTCCTCATATCCTACGATTTCCCCTGTTAGTCCTCTTCAATAGGACGGCGGGCCCACAAAGCTATCATGTTAACAATCACCTCTGATAGCCCTCTTACACTCCGATAAGTACACGAGTATAAACTGCTTCTTCTGATCCTCTAACTGGTATAAGAGGTTAAACTATTCCCCACACTTTCACTTCTTGAGCCAGGTTCCCAGTACGGGCGAACCGCTCAAATCAGGCGAGCCTAACAGTTAGGCGAGTCCCACTTCTTGAGCCAGGTTTCCATTTACGGCGAACCGCTCAAAACAGGCGAGACTAGCAGTTCAGGTGGGCCAGGTTCTCGGTTATGGCGAACTGCTCAAAACAGGCGAGACCAGCAGTTCAGATGGGCCGCATCAAAGTCCCACTTGGTCAAACCTTCAGATAGTTAGGACTAAAGCCACAATCCCCCGCCAATCCTCTTCAATAGGATGGCGGGACCCCCACTGTCTTGTTAACAATTACCTCTGACAAATCAACTTACCAGTCCTCTTCAGGGTTAGTCTTTGCCCCAAGAGAAGATAAATCAGGGTTCGTCTTCATCTTTGCCCTAAGAGAAGATCCTCTTCAATAGGATGGTAGGTCCATAGAGTTGCTCAAATCGCAATAAACTCCCACTGTCATGTTAACACTACACCTATGACAAAATCAACTTACCAATCCTCTTCAAAAGGATGGTAGGTCCTCAAAGTCGCTCCGATCGCGGCAATTCCTATCACGTTAACGATTACCTCTGATAGCCGACACCGTCATTCTCGCAAATGACGTTGTCCGATCAGTCGTCATACTCATACGTCCCTAAACGATTTGATTCTCCCAGCACTGTCTTTCCCATAAAAGGCGTTGTTGTTTGATAGTGGCCTACTATGCGATGTGCTGCTATTTCAGGGTTCGTCTTTGCCCCAAGAGAAGACAAATTAGGGTTCGTCTTTATCTTTGCCCTAAGAGAAGATAAGCTTCCCCCTTATACTCCGACTGGTGCATGAGTCTAAATTGCCCCCTTATACTCCCACTGGTGCAAGAGTATAAACTGCTCCTTTCCTCCAACCGGTGCACGAGGTCCAACTGGTGCATGAGTCTAAACTGCCCCCTTACACTCCAACTGGTGCATGAGTCTAAACTGCTCCTACCCTCCGACTGGTATACGAGGTTAAACTGCTCCCTTAAATCCAAACGCCTCGAAAGGCTAAGGATAGAGGAGAAATTTTAGCATTGAGCCTAAGAGAGACTCCTCGACAACTTACCATGCTAAGGGCAAGAGCATGGCTAGTCCAACTCAAACGGCAGTTGGTAAAGACAAATCAAGTCCGTTGATAGCTGAGGGTTTGCTCAAAATCCTAGAAGGCGATCATCAGCTGCGAGTGAAGAGCAGGGATCACTTTACGGGACTTCATATCCAAAGTGTTCCAGACCCCATGCGGCCTGATTCAGGTCTGAAAACTTTGGAGGGGGTTTTGTAGGCAATAAAAATTGCCTTTAATCCTTATCAGAGAAGTTCAGAACAAAACTGCTAAAACCTCGCCCGAAATAGCAGAAAAAGGGGAAAACGCAGATATCTCCCAAACCATAAGGAATTTGGCGAAACGGAGGAAGCTAACCGAAGCCTTTGGCTCGGTTCGGATGGCCCCATCTCGTCGAGATAGGCGATTTTCATATATAATTCGTCCAATTCCGACTTACGGTTTGAAAGTTACGGCCTATTCTTCAATCCATGCTCAGGAGCTCGCCTGCAACTCAAATTCGCCTGCAGTCCCAAATCCGCCTGCAGACCCAAGTCTGCCTGCGCACCTGAGCTCGCCTGCAAACCCAGTTCGCCTGCTAGCTCGCCTGCAGACCCAAGTCCGCCTGCAGTCCCAAACTCACCTGCAGACCCAGTTCGCCTGCAAGCTCGCCTGCAGACCCAAGCTGCAGACTCGCCAGCTCACTGTCAACTGCCCACTTGGAGTATGGGAACAGTTACATCAGTGGTCAAATCCCACAAATCAAGGGAGAGGGCACAATACTCCAGGCCCGTCAGATGGCCGTCCACAGTACGAATGAGCGGACAGGCGCCGAAACAGCCTGCACCCTCATAAATGCGGCTCACCTCAGTTGTCCAGGTGAAGGGACGAGAGCCGCCAACGCTCGGTGGTTGGTCAGATCCACGCAAGCATCTGACAGCCGTTGTCACGCATACGAGGAGGGGCTTTCCCACTCCTATGTAGCGTGATGCAGAGCACAGCTCTTCGAATGACCATTGACGGTACGAATGAACAGCAGGACGTCTCCGAACAACGTGTGGTCACATCCCATAATTCAAGGAGCAGTCAAGCTATCTCCCTCACCTCTATTAGTGGTCAAATCCCATGAATCAAGGGATAGCCCATGCCATCCCTTGCCTGTTAAAACCCATCTTCAGCAGCATGAAGAAGGGGGATTGGCCGTTGCATATTCTGCTGGCTAATCTCCCAAAGGTTGAACCTGGACCTTTGCCAAAGGCTCCCTCATTTGAGAACCGAAGCTCCGGCAGCAACTTCGATCGGATCGTCCAAGGGAAGCAGACTCGGCACGAGCACCGAGCGAGGCATCCTATCGCCACCTAAAGTCCCCACACAAAACAAAGAGGGCCTTCCCTCTGCTTCTGTTGTAAACATTTGATTTGTTAGTTTGTAATAAGCTTTCTTATAAATACAAACGAAACTCCTTTCTTCGGAAGAATCAAATTTTCACCCTACAGAAGATGGCGACCACAGTGGGAGAA